AGGAGAAGGGATTGTGGCGTGGCCATCCCCCCGGGGGGTGATTTTTTGCTTTCTGTCTGTCTTTCTGTCTCTCTGGCGAGTGCATGCACCCTATTGCAAAAGCCTCTAAAAAAAAAGAAGAGGCCAAGGATAGGGTTGTTTTGAAAGTCTGTTTAAAGCAAGATGAAAGATCTTTGGACCTTTGAAAATGCCCCAGAGACAGAATGAAAACAACAGTCTTCTCTATTTTTTCAGAGCTATGACTCATAGATCTGCCTTTAGAAGAATCTTCCTTATTTGAAATACATATTAAAGAAAATATATTAAATATATATTATTTCATACATATATCTTTTTTTAAGAATTATTTTACTGAACTTTATTTATTCTTATTATTTATTTATTTTAATTTGACCAGAGAGGGACAGAGAGAGAGAGAGAGAGAAGGCAAGCCGCCAGGTCCAGGATTGAACTGTGGCCATGTGGGAGTTCAGCGCCCTTAACCACCATGCCACTTGCTGACCCCTCATACATATATCTTGAAGTGGCTTAAACTATTATGCATGCAGATTTCTTTTAAGGATCTCAGAAGCAATCCCAAATATGCACAATATAAGATCAGAAGTAGCTGAATTATAGGTTAAAAATCTGCATCATAGTGGGTATAAAATGGAAACTATATTTTTGTAAGCTACTACATGACTCTTGTTTGATAACAGTTGTATTGCCATCAGTTAGAATTAATCAATTTATTTATGATCCATCAAGTTTGAGCTCTTATTATCATGAAGAAACTGTGCCTTTAAAAGAGGACAACTGGGGACCAGCAGTTAGCATAATGGCTATGTCGCTGGACTCCCACGTAGTCGATCGCAGTTCGCGTCCCGGACACAGTGGCTTAAAAGGCACGCCGGGTGCGTGTGCGTGCGTGCCCAAGATCCCGAGAGGAGAATGGAGGAGAAGGGACTGTGGCATGGCCATCCTCACTGGGGGGTGATTTCTTGCTTTCTGTCTCTCTGTCTCTCTCTCTCTGTCTGGCGAGCGCACACACCCTATGGCTAAAACTTCTCAAAAAAAAATTAAATAAAAAAGGACAATTTAGGTGGTACAAAAACTATACATTAAAATCCCTAATTTACACAATTCTATTTGAGAAACTGATTTGTCTGGTGGAACCTGGGATTTAGTTAAGTATTAGGTTTAAGGACACTCAATGGACTTTGTCTTGTATGAGACCAAGTTTGAAGGAGGTGGCTGCTCATCTCTCTCTCTCTTTTTTTTTTTTTTTTTGAGAGTTTTTTGCTAGAGGGCGCATGCGCTCGCCAGACAGACAGAGAGAGACAGAAAGCAAGAAATCACTCCCCAGGGGGGGATGGCCACGCCACAGTCCCTTCTCCCCCATTCTCCTCTCAGGATCTTGGGGACACACGCACACGTGTCCAGTGTAAGTGTTAAGCCACCGGGTCTGGGATGCGAACCACAGTCGACTATGTGGGAGTCCAGCGACATAGCCATTACACTAACAACATTGGTATTCTTCACTCTCAAGACTGAGGAACTCTCTCTGTCCTCATTACTGGCTACATCTACAGTTCAGGAAGAACTTGAGCAACTTGGAAGCTCTTTAGCTTAGCAAGGGGATGTCAAAATGAGGACCATGAAGCTATACTTCCTCAGGTCAGCTCCCTAAATAATCTTCTCCCGCATTCTCCCCACCTCCAATTAAGTCAGGTCTCTCTATTGTAAGTTCTCCAAGCAATCTAAAATTCCTTTGTGGAACTCAGCATTGCGTAATTATATATTCATTGCATGATTATGGGTTAGGTCTGCCTCCCTACTCCTCCTTACTCTACAGTAAACTCTATGACGGTGAGACGACTATGTGGGGTGTGTGTGTCTGAGAGAGAGAGAGAGAGAGAGAGAGAGACATTGCGTTTACTTTGCTTTCCATTTCACTAAGTCCAGAGTATTGCATGTACCCAATAAATATTTATTGATCTGTGAAAGTGGTATTTCTTTGTCTTCCTGATGATATATATTTTTTTTTTGGAGAGGTTTTAGCTATAGGGCGCGTGCACTCGCCAGACAGACACAGAGAGAGAGATAGAAAGCGAGAAATCACCCCCCAGGGGGGATGGTCACGCCGCAATCCCTTCTCCTCCATTCTCCTCTCGGGATCTTGGGCACGCACACACACGCGCCCGGCGTGAGTGTAAGCTGCCGTGTCCGGGACTCAAACCATGGTCGACTACGTGGGAGTCTAGTGACATAGCCATTACACTAACTGCTGGTCCCGCTGATGATATTCTTGACATAAATTGAAACAGGTATGAGCGTGCCACTGCAGGGAAACTGGAAGCTCAGAAGGTTCTGTAACTAAGTGAAATGTCATGGCTGGCACAGAGGTGGACGGATGAGCCAGCTGAGAAGTGTTCATCTACCAGAGGGGGAAAGACTTTCCTTCTGAAAAGACAAGCACCTCTGGCAGATCATTTGAGTTTGCTGTCTGGTTTTGTGATTTTAGGTTTGAATTTTTCACAGCTCTGTGTTTTATATTTTTTCCCCATTTCTCCCCAGAGTCCCATCTTTCCTCTCCTGGTTTGAAGTCTCATGAAGAGGTCTGAGGACAGACATTAATTTTTTTTTAGAATTATTTAATTTTTAAATTTATTATTATCGTTTAATTTGACCAGAGAAAGAGAGAAAGCAAGTTACCAGGTCTGGGACTTGAACTGCGGTAGGCCATGTGGACCAGCACCCCGACCACCACGCCACCTGACAGCCCCAAGGACAGACATTATTAGGAGAGTTTATCATTAAGGATTCTAAGAAAATGTTTTATAGAGGGTAGCTTAGCAGAGACTGAAGTCACATTAGTACTGAGCATCCTTGTTATGGTAACCTTGGTTGATGTCTTAAAGTTTATGAAGCTTTGAGATCGCATAGTTCCTTCAGATGTATTGTGAAGTAGACATATCAACACCACCACCCTAAGTTTATAGATGAGGAAAGAGAGGCTCAGAGGTGGTTGATTTGTCCAAATTAAAGTGAAAACAAGAGAAAATTAACATTTTGAGTGTTTACTATGTGTTGAGCATGACATGTCCTTTATATTTAGAACATGTAAATAATCCTCACTGCATCCCCATGAGATAGGTAACTATTTTTAGTATTTCCATTTTACAGACGAGGAAATGGAGACTTGGAGAAGTCAAGTAATTTGCTTCGGACACATAAGCAAGAAGCATAGAGCTAGGCTTCAAACCCTGATAGTTTGTCTCAAGAATGAAGATGATAAAACACTATGCTAATGAATTACCACTAAAGTAAAACTGTGTTTTGGTATTTGCTACTACAGGTCTTTTGACTCCTGGTTCAATGATTTTTTCTTTTCTTTTTTTTTGAAAGTATTGCTATAGGGCATGTTTGCTCACTGGAGAGAGCGGGGGAGGGGGAGAGAGAGAGAGAGAGAGAGAGAGAGAGAGAGAGAGATAGATAGATAGATAGATATCACCATTTAGGGAGGAAGGCCATGCTACAATCCCTTCTTCATTCTCATTCTCCTCTTGGAATTTTTGGGCATTGCACACACACACATACACACACTCACACACACATGCCTGGTGTGTTTTATAATCCACTGGGTCTAGAACTTGAACTGGGTAGTTGGTTATGTGGGATTCAGCCTCTTTTATCCCCATGCCATCTGCTGGCAGGCTGCTTTACTTTTTTTTTTTTTTTTAACTTGCTTAAAGTTTCACCTTGACTTAGAATCCACAATTGGAGACCACAGTGACACATATGAGTAAAATTATATCAACTAAGTTCAGACAAAAACCCTCCACATTTATCTATTTTTTCAGAGATGTTCATCCCTTAATAATCATAGCATATATTCTACTGACTATATGGAGAAAAACTTGCACCTTCCTCTGAAGGTATACTATATATATGTGTGTGTGTATTTTTTTTTTTTTTAAGAGAGATTGTTGCTATAGGATGTGTGCACTTGCCAGAGAGACAGCAAGCAAGAAATTACCAGCCAGGGAGAATGGCTACACCACAATCCCTTCTTCTCCATTCTCCTCTTGGGATCTTGGGCACACACAACATTGTAACCATTACACCATCTGCTGGTTCCATGGATAGATTTTTTCTTTTTCAATACTTCTTAATAATTTTTGTAGGGATCAGTGGATGGCCTAATGGTTACGTTGCTGGACTCCCATGTAGTTGACAGTGGTTTGAGTCCCAGACCCAGTGGCTTGAAACCCATGCCGGGCATGTGTGCATGCATGCATGCCCAAAATCCCGAGAGGAGAATGGAGGAGAAGAGATTGTGGTGTGGCCATTCCCCTGGGGTGAGGGGAGGGTGACTTCTCGCCGTCTGCCTCTCTCTGTCTCTCTGGCGAGCAGATGTGCTCTATAGCAAAAAAAATCTCCCTTAAAAAAAAATCTGTCCATGAAAACATGATTACGTGAGTTCTTTTTAGGCAATTATCTCTTCGAGGAGGTAACAATGATCACCAGTGACCAGCACGTTTTATGTCCTCTACAGAGCCAAGTCACTCTCCCTATGGGTTCTCTTAACATCATACTTTGTAATTGAAAAAAGAACATGAAAATGTCATACCTTGTAACTTAAAAGAACAACAAAGGCTTTGCCTAGAGCTCAGATTGGAAAATGATCTAGACAAAATTTCTGGCCTGTGCACAGAGCTATGACCCAAGTTAGACGCCTGAGGTCAGTGAGTAGAGCTTGGCACCCAGGGTGTCATTTATGTGTCTTCTGAATATCACTGACTGCGCTTCAAAGCCATTCTTAGAAAAGATACTAGTTCATATTTGATTTTCTGTGTTACCTGT